CTGGAGGACCAAAGGTTGGATACCAGTGCTCCATATGGAGTTCTTGCTGGTTGGATCCAGTGGCCAATAGTTCCATCCAATTTAGGATTCTGTGTGCAATGTGCAATGGAACCACATACACAATGGCAACTCATAAATGGCACAATGGCAACTCATAAATCTTCAACTGAAGATTGGCATTTGCATCAGACCAAAATGTTGAAATGCTTCTGAAGGGGATCTTAGGCATGCATAAGACACTAACAAGATTGTCAGCCCATTTTCTTGGCCCTCGTGGAGTCTGGGATTAACTTTGAAAGGAGCTGGCAGAATCTAGTGAAATCTCAGCAGCCAAATGCAAGCTTAGCAAGACTTCCAAGGGTAGAGGAAAGAAACTTTGAGACTCAACAAGACCAGTTTCCCAACCTCAATGGCCAGTGGATGTTGGAAGTGTTTGATCTTGTCTTGTTCAGACAGAAAATAAGGAATGGCGTTTCTTAGCAAATAATCTGCTGTAGGGATATGCATTATTCAAGTTATTGTTGTATAGAAAGGACTGAATTCTGCAAACCATATTCATCTTACTTTAAGACTCTTGTCAATGTGGCTGGAGGGAGGCAAACAGACAGAAGGCACAGCAGGTTTCTCCAACTAACAAAGCTGTCTGGAGCTTCGCCCAAAGCAGGAAGACAGCCAGACAGATCACTCCAGGAAGATCTGAAAAGCAAAGCAAAACTGATTTCCGACCTTTCCATCTACTCCATGCCAACCAAACCTGTGAGAGCTTTTGAGCATATTCAGGGCTTCAAAAACCGGGGTTTTCAAACCCCTGTAGCACTGAGCTTTTCATATTAATGGGTACAATGTTTCACTTAACAAAAGGCTGTGATTTTGACAGATGTGCATAAAACCTCTTATTATTATAATGACCAAGAACCTCAGAGCTTGAAATGAAATACTTAGAAAACAATTAGTTTCCAAAAATGAAGGTACAGTCAACCCCTTTTTTCAGAGTGAAAAACATGTGAATTAAAATGCTATTTTATTTTATCTGAGAGAAAACCTCTCTCTGTCTATATTTATTTATCGTGTCAGTAGCGAATTGAGAACACAATAATAATGTATAGAAAAACCACAGAGTTAAAAACTTGCCATTATACTAAATGTCATTTGACCAGAAGCTGGCCGCTTGGAGTGCCTCTGGTGTTGCTGTGAGAAGGTTCTCCATTGTGCATGTGGCAGGGCTCAGACTGCAGTGTAGTAGGTGGTCTGTGGTTTGCTCTTCTCCTCACTCGCATGTCAATGATTCAACTTTCTAGCCCCATTTCATCTCGTGGTGCCAGAGCATAGTCTGTTCAGCACCTACCAAGTCACCTTGTCTTCTGTATGCCCAGGAAGGAGTCTCTCATCTGGTCTCAGCCACTGATTGAGGTTCTGGGTTTTAGCCTGCCACTTTTGGACTCTCACTTGCTAAGGTGTTCCTGCAAGTATCTCTGTAGGTCTTAGAAAGCTTTTTCTTGATTTATGGCATTGGCTTGCTGGCTATTTATTTATTTGTCGTGTCAGGGCAACCAGTCAATTATATTACATTTCTAACAGAGCAAAGCAAACAAACAGACAAAATACAAAATTTGTGAGTTTGGTAGTTGATTAAATGTCCTTTGACCAGTATCTGGCCACTTGGAGTGCTTCTGGTGTTGCTGCAAGAAGGTCCTCCATTGTGCATGTGGCAGGGCTCAGGTTGCATTGCAGCAGGTGGTCAGTGGTTTGCTCCTCTCCACACTCGCATGTCGTGGATTACACTTTGTGGCCCAATTTCTGAAGGTTGGCTCTGCATCTTGTGGTGCCAGAGCGCAGTCTGTTCAGCACCTTCCAAGTTACCCAGTCCTCTGTGTGCCCAGGGGGGAGTCTCTCATTTGGTGTCCAAGCGCAGTCTGTTCAGCGCCTTCCAAGTCGCCCAGTCTTCTGTGTGCCCAGGGGGGAATCTCTCATTTGGTTTCAGCCATTGGTTGAGCTTCTGGGTTTCAGCCTGCCACTTTTGGACTCTTGCTTGCTGATGTGTTCCAGCGAGTGTCTCTGTAGATCTTAAAAAACAATTTCTAGATTTAAGTTGTTGATGTGCTGGCTGATACCCAAACAGGGGATGAGCTGGAGATGTCACTGCCTTGGTCTTTTCACTATTGCCTGCTACTTCCCGGCGGATGTCAGGTGGTGCAATACCGGCTAAGCAGTGTAATTTCTCCAGTGGTGTAGGGCGCAGACACCCCGTGATAATGCGGCATGTCTCATTAAGAGCCACATCCACTGTTTTACCATGGTGAGATGTGTTCCACACTGGGCATGCATACTCAGCAGCAGAGTAGCATAGCGCAAGGGCAGTTACTCAGATGATCCATTGGAACTTGTGCCACAAATACCATCTGCCTGCAACAAAGAACTGGTGGGATCACAAGCCTGAAAAAGTTGCAGAAAATGAACACATCAAACTACTCTGGGACTTCCGAATCCAGACTGACTCAAGTTCCTTACTTGAAAGGCCACACACCAAAGGAGATGTTCGATGAGATGAAATATGTTTATGGTGAGGATCCCCCATCATATGATGGAGTCAAGAACTGGCATCGTCCATTCCAATGTGGTCGGACTTTGGTGCAAACATCCCCAATTCCAGGGTGACCCTATTCTGCTATTGAGTAACACACCATCCAGGAAGTGGAGCCCCCCATTTTGGAAAATACTCCTGACCTCACGATTGTGGAAATAAATATAGTATGGAACATCGATGTTGCAGTCCCAGGCAACAGCAGCATTGACAAGAAGCAAATGGAAAAGCTGACACAATACAAGGATTTAAAGATCAAACTACAAAGACTCTGGCAGAAATCAGTAAAGGTGTTCCCAGTGGTGATTGGCACACTTAAAGATAGTCCCAGTGGTGATGGCCAGCACTTAAAAACAATTGGCGCTGTCAACTCCAAAAGGCCACCCTACTTGGATCTGCATGCATTATTCACCGAGACCTCACACAGTCCTAGACACTTGGGAAGTGTCCAGTGTGTTATCCAATACAACAGCCAAAAGAGTGATCTTGTTTGCTGTGTACTAATCTTGTTGTGTATCAAATAATAATAATAACAACAACAACAAGAGGAACAGAAGAGAAGGGAATGATCTTGTTCTCTCCAGTAGGATTGGGCAAAAGGAATATGCTGCATGCCCTCCTAAGTTGCATCTTCTTCCTCATTAAAAACTTTTGCTTTCTAATGGTACTTACCAAATGCTACTCTTCCACAATTCCTTTTTTTTAAAAAAAAATCATGTTCTAACTTTTTTTTCCTGTCAATCACACCTGTCAAAGATGCTGAGCTCAAGCCATCCCCGCCTCTGTCTCCACATTCCCCTATTTGTTTTCTTTTTCTGCCATCTGTATATTAACATTTTTAGTGGCGGTCGTGTTGGCCATGCAGAAAAATACAATAAGATCCAATTTTCTTTTATTTCACATTTTGTTGGATGTTGTTGGCTTTTACATTAACATTTGTCATTGTCTGGATTCTCTTTATTGCTCTCGCCCTAAGCTAAGCTCCCTGGTCCCTCAAGGGCAGCTGCCCCGAAGTCTCGACTCTCTCAAACTGCCCCGATGCAAAGGGAGCAGTTAAAGCTTCGCATTCGCATCCATCATGGGTGGACGATGCAGATTAATATGAACCGTGAAATGAGCCATTTCACAGCAGCAGCAGAACTTCACTCCCAAATCCTCCCCCTTTCCTGCTTCCAGGAGGGTGCCGCCTTGCTAAAATTAGCCCAGGGCAATCTTTTCAGTTTTATACAGCTATAAGATTTAATTTGATAGATACGGGGTTAATGAACAGGAGCAATTTTTAATCAATGAGCTGAATGGGGGAGAGGGTACTTGTTTATTTGGGAGTCTAATTGGTTCTGCAGTACTGCTATTAATTATGATTTCGGGTTAATATTTACCCAACTGACTTGGAGCTGATTAATCAGCAGGGAGCTTCCTTCAACAATCCCTGCTGGATAAGAAGCTCGTTTTCAAGAGCTATTACCTTTGGGGAGACTGCACAGTTTGCTTGAGGCACTACTAGTGGTCCAAGAGTTGCACGCTGACTCTACAGACCAGGGTTCAAATCCCTGCTGGTTGATCTTGGGCAAATCACACACTTTTAGCCTTAGAAACCCACATGATAGGACAGGTTGGGACTGTGCCGCAGCTGGTAGGGAGTCAGCTGCATTAAGATCACTACTGACCAAAAGGTCATGAGTTCGAAGCCAGCCCGGGTTGGAGTAAGCTTCCAACCAATTTGTGTAGCTTGCTGTCGACCTTTGCAGCCCGAAAGACAGTTGCATCTGTCAAGTAGGAAATTTAGGTACCGCTTTATGTGGAGGCTAATTTACGACACCATAAAAATCTCCAGCAAGCATACAAAGAATGAGGAAGTACTTCATCAGTGTCACAAATGGACAGTGAAGCAACAGCTGCCCTGGTGGCCA